CAGTGGACGCCTATCACAAATAGACTCGAGGACCCTAGGCGCTCCAGATATTATACAACAACTCGTTCTCGGTTCTGCCTTGGGCTATAAGGACTTTTCCATTAACTATGGTGGCGGAGAAAATGACATTATCCAGGAGCCCTCAGGGTAGCCACCATTGATGTATACATAAAAACGTAAATTCCACTTGTCCTTTGCTGTCATTATTTATTGCCGACGACATTCCTTACCCATTTAATCACCACCTCTCTGGGCCTGTTGCAATCAGATTCAGCAAAGCTGGTCTCTGAGACAGTCATCTGTACTGGCAAACACGAGGACCCGAGGATCAGTACACGGAAACTTCCAGCGGTGTAAGAAGAATTAACCACTTCTAGTAGGAAATTGGTGACCTTCTACCTCTCTCAGGGCCTGTTTTGAAAATCTCACCTAAGCGCCAATGAGAATCCAGGGGATCGAATTGAGAGCCTGCTTATGGCTCTTTTTGGAATTCACTAAACCCTAATTTGTGGCACTACCGGCACCTTTGAAGTGGGGTTTGACATAAGTGCCCTGCTCCTAAGTGAGACTATGCCCCAACACTGTGATATAGATGACGGACACACCAGTTGTCTCCCTGGTTGCATACAGATCCTGTCTGCAGTTCCGCCATATTCCAAGTCGCCATTTGGAACACGTTTGTCGACTTGTGCTTAAAGTAGGTGGCGCATCACATGAAATACTAGTTTAAATTCACTAATGTGTCCTTTATATTATAACTGATATTGAATACATTTTTGACAGCGTGCAATATCCATTTAAATGGCGTCAAGCCTATCTTTTTATCACCGTAGTTTGCGAAGTATACTATAAAGTTCACATTCATTGTAAACCTTTCTGAGCCCAGTACGATGTTTGCTTAATGACACGGACTGTGAAAGGGTAAACGCAAATGCAAATGCAAGTCAAACTAAACATTTTATCAGAAAGTTGAAAAATATTTTAAATATCAAAGAAATCGTTTTCTTAGAATATAGATTGATGAAGAGCAAGACAAATACCATCTTTTTATCAACGTTTTTTGTGAAGTATACAATATAATTCACATTCATTTTAAACATTTCTGAACCCAAAACGATGCTCGCTTTATGACATGGACTGTAAGAGTCTTAACACCAATGCAACTACAAGTCTAATTAAAAATTTTATCAGAAATTGGATAACTACTTTTAATATCGGAAAAAACGTTTTCTCCAGGATATAATTTGATGAATAACAAGATAAATATCAAATAAGTACTTAGAGGGATATTTTATATGTTTTTTAAACGTATCTTAATTTACGAGGACATCACGAAAAAATGGATAAAATTCGTTATACTCAATGGACGCCTCTCATAAGTATACTCCGGAGGCCCCAGGCGCTCCCGATATTATACAACAACTCGTTTTCGGTTTTGCCTTGGGCTATAAGGACTTTTCCGCTAACCATGGTGGCGGAGAAAAGGATATTCTTCAGGCGCCCTCGGGGTAGCCAACATTGATACTTCGAGAGTTCACGTAGTTCTCGTACTGAGCAGGTACCGACAGTGTGAGCGTCTTCACAGCCAATGTGTGTTCAGCGTCCTCTGCGCGCATGATCACCTGAAACAGATAGTCCTTCCTTCTCACCCCTCTTCCTGATGTGTCTTTATACGGGTGGAGGCAGATTAACAGTTCGACCAAAATAGATGACGGCACAATTGTTACAGGGGGATTGTAGACACTGCTTTCCTATTTAAACAACCAGCCATGTCCTCGGGGTATAGAAGTGGTGTGCATAAGATATTTTCAAGTTTGCGCACTACCTTTATTTAATGTTTCTTTAGCTGTCTTTCGACCATCTCAAGTTCGACAGACGACTTAGGAGGAACTAGAGTGTGTCTAAAAATGGCTTAATCGTGTCAAGACTCAGTTCTTCGACGAAACACTTAATTACGAACTCCTTTCCCAAAAAATGTGCCTATTTTTATATCGGCGCGTTAAGTGTTAGGAGTTTAAAGTTTAGGCATTTTCAGTACTGTGGCTACTAAAATGACAAAAGCACTCATCAGTGGAACTCTACCACTCAAAAAAGTGTTGGAGTTGATAAAAATGCCGCTGAAAAGACGCCAAACCTGCAACATACATCAACATTACACAGCCATATGATGCACCCTGTAAACATGGTTAGCTGCTCGAGTAAGAAAAAGAACACTTATAAAATCTTATGTACCAAATGTAATAAAGTATTAAGTGGCTCATTAGCCAGAAATGGTCGTTCATGGCAGCGTACATGCATATATATCGGAGAACAGGCAGCTCTGCAAAAGATATTTTGGGGTCACATACCTTCTTCTGCAAAAGGAACTTTAATGTGTACATCTTTGATGCTGGTTCATCAGGTTGTCATTGATAAACGTTGAACATATATATGAAGTATGAAAACACTTCAAACATGCTTAAAAATCAGTATTTTTGACGCTTGCGCCAGTAAGCCGTTTCCACGTGCGTCATTCTGCATATATTGGTTCTCGTCTCTTCCATTTCTCCGCATAAGTTTTTTTCTCGGTAGACGTATACGCGCAGTATTTCCTCAGTATTACACTGCAAGTGAACGTATTTTCCATAAAAAAAGAATTTCTCCCAAGGCGCCCTACGGATAAGTAAATTGTACACTGAGGTACGCCAAAAGGACCATCTAAATTGGTACAACACGCTTTGCTTGTCACTCGCCGAGAAAGGAGGTTTCACCACCAATAAGAAAAAAACTGATTACACAGAGGAGGTTATGTCATTCCTAAAAGGCAATTCCACGTATGAACCTCTGAAAGCTGACTGTACAAGATCACAAAACTCGTACATTTAGAAAACACTGAAGCGTCTTACGGAAAAGAAATTAATTTCAGGAATTCTGGCCAAATCCTTAAAAAGGCGTGAACACATAACTTACACGATATATGAACTTCCTCATGTTAACCGTGTGGGTATTCCTCATGGACCGATAGTTTCCTTGACCGGATCGCAAATTTCGAGATTTTACGTGGCTATTTTACCAAATACATCCCCTTAAAAAACCGAGAAATCTATTAAAATTTCAAATGAGTTAAATTACTAATGGGGAATGAGAGTTTCAGTCGACGGGATAATGATTCCATTGGATGTAGTCCCACTGTTCATCGCGATTCCGCTAAATTTGGTGACGCATTGCACTAAAGGACGCCTTAAGGCCTGCACTCTGTCTTCAAACAATTCCACTGACAATTGGGAGGTGCTCATATGGGTTCGCCTATATCCATCTTTCTGGCGGGAGCCAAAATCCAGGAAATGGAACCCAGAGCTTTTCCTACAGTTAAACCAAAAATACGGCGGCGCCACCACGTGGATGACACATTTGTCACTGCCGAAAATGCAAATAGATCTGTTCCATATCAATTTTAACTCCTCATTTCCAGCGAACACGCTTACTTTAAAAATGGAGATTGAGATACAACACCTTCAGTAGTGACCTATCTGATGAAATCTGATGACGAAAACTGATGAGAAAATTTCTGGAAGTCTTTAACGTTGCACATTTTGTTTGCTCTTCCATATCCTTCAATTAAATGTCCTTTTCTAGTCCAGAAATTGTGTAAGCATAATTACTTCAGGTAAAATATCAGTAAACTTTTGCAAAAATGGACGCTGGAATATATTTGTGCAATTGCTTATGCTAATATATGTCCTAGACTCCGGTTACGCATCTTAGCGACTCTTCCATTGAAAGGATAGTAATTTACGCGCGAGGGTTTTGATAAAAAGATTTTGCCGGACTAGAAATTTTATTTAATGTCCGATGATAACCATCCTTATCAACCTGCTAACACAAAGGTTATTTTAAGAAAACCAGAGGTTTTATCGGTTTCCAAATGTCAACTTAACAGATCTGTGCGGTTTCATGTTTGAATAAGTCTTTACACGTGACCCGAACGACCATCCGCGTGCAAAGGAGCGCCCAAACACTCACTAATTCGGTTAATGCTGTAAGGATAATCTTATTTTGAAGTTTTCAACAGACAGTTAATTCAGAATCTGCCTTTATGGACGATCGGGTGAAAACAGTGAAAATCATGAAGTATTCAGCAACATTTCGAGGCCACTCTGAAAGTCAACGTAATACAAAACAAACGAAAAGTGTAAGTTAATTTAACGGAAGACAAGTTCTCTTTATAAACACAAAGAGGTATGTTTAAGATCACCTGTCACAGTTCTATTTAAATTTATTAGGTACCGACCGGCCACATGACATGCCGCCTTATGAAAACGTTTCTTCCTACGACGTTCCCAATGGTGAAATCAAGCAAAATCCAGTTTCTCTTTTTGAACCCCATCTCATTGAACTCAAACGGGTCAAGGATAACACGAACTCCCGTAAAACTGTTTTGGAATCTGCACTCAGAATGTAGGCAATTGACAAACCGTCAAATATGAAATCACACTAATTAGTAAACGATATATAAATGTAAACATCTCTGAACGTAAACTGAGGTAATCTGTACTGCCGTTATTTTAGTTCCACTTTGATATTTAGTACGTTTTTGGTATAAGAATACATTTTATACATTTAAAAACGAATTTTACTAAATTAGAGCCATTTCTGACGTTTTCGGAATATCGCGCTTTTCAAAATAAATCGGCATTTCTAAACAGTGCGACACTCCCTATAATATTTTGCTTGTTTTTAATTCTTTTAAACTTGTAATTAATTAACGTAGGCACTGGGCTCATGAAATGAGGTCGGTTTGCGAGTGATTGGCGATTCGTCGTACATTCGAGTCAGTTCTACTGGCCTCAGCCCTTCCAGAAGACAGGCGCGCAGACATACGCAGCTGTGCCACAGGTATCCTTCGGCAAAAAAGACGCCAACAAACCCTACCGGCCGATGAAGCACAAGGATTACGATCACTGAGATCGGACCACAATATTGTTGTTGTTCCCGCTGACAAGGGTGGCGCTACTATCGTCATGGACAGAATTGATTACGTCAACAAGGCGAATGGAATCTTCGGTGACGTAGCATCCTACACTCTTCTTGCCGAAGACCCGACGAAAAAGCAAGCCGCTGCCATCAAGAAAAAGGTTAATCAGCTCACCCGTCTGAAAGTTATAAGTCCAGATGATTCCAAGCTGATGACCCTCAGTGATCCCCATATCGCACGCGCTTATGGTCTCCCAAAAGTGCATAAAGTGAACGCCCCACTGAGGATTATTGTACCACTCATCGGATCACCTACGTACAATATAGCTAAGTGGTTGTACAAGCATCTGAAGCAGTTAACTCATGGATCTGACTACAGCATCAACAATTCTCTCGCGTTCCTCCAAAGGATCCAAGGCCTCGAAGTAAGTGCCGATGAATGCCTCCTGTCCTTTGACGTCGTTGCCTTATTTTCTTCCATACCACACGATTTGGCAATTGACTGCGTCGCCCAACGCTTACAGGATAATCCTATTGAGATTCCAACTCAACATATTATAGAACTGCTCAAACTCTGCCTTAGAAACTACTGTCAATTCGACAATAAGTTCTACCAACAGGTAAAGGGAACCCCAATGGGCTCGCCAATATCTGGACTGATCGCAGAACTTGTATTGCAGCGACTAGAAAAGGAGGTTTTCCAAGATCTCAGCCCCAAAATGTGGCTTCGCTATGTAGACGATACCTTTGTCGTGATAAAGAACTGCGAAGTTGAACGGCTGCATCAGAGGCTGAATGACGTCTTCCCGGCCATACAGTTTACTCGTGAAGAGGCAATAGGGGACAGCCTGCCGTTTCTTGATGTGAAAATACAAAGGCTGAGCGATGGTAGTCTCGCGACGAGCGTCCATAGGAAGGGATCTAATTCCGAAATTATCCTCAATTATGGAAGCAACCACTCCGCAGCTCACAAAAGGAGCTGCGTTCGAACTCTGTTCCACCGGGCCTATCGTTATTGCAACAGCGCCGATCTCCTTAAGAAAGAGCTTGCCTACTTGTATCGGTTGTTTCGATCCAACGGATATCCGACAAGTTTCGTAAAGAACTGCCTCAGACACCAGGCACAACCGCAAGCTCCCACCCTAGACGGAGAAACTGTGTCTCGACAATTCTTCTCTCTGCCTTATATGCAGGGAGCGTCCGAAGTAATCGCCCGGCAGTTAAATCGCTCTGGTATTCGCATCGCCCACAAACCAGCATCCTCACTACGCGCGGCGCTATCTCGAATCAAGGATCCCCTCCCCAAAGAGCAACAAACAAACGTAATTTATCGCATCCCGTGCTCAAATTGCTCTTGCGTGTATGTTGGTCATACAGGTCGAAGCCTGGGCACCCGTATTAACGAACACAAACTGGCTGTCCGTCGGCGAGACCCTCTGTCCCTCGTCTTTGGTCACGCACTCGAGTGCGACCACCGATTCAATTGGGATGCCACTGAGGTCGTCGCCATGGCTAACACAAAACGGGCGAGAGAATTTCTCGAGGCTTGGTACTCCGATGCTGGTAGTATCAACCGCCATGTTGATCTGGACGCCCATTATGAGGGCCTACGCTCACGACTTACTGCCCCCCGCCCTGATGCCACAGCAACGGCCGCCAATTTAGCCACCCGGAGTCCAATTGATCCACCATTACACCCTCCCCCTCCAGCATAGGCATCCATAATTGTTCCACCTCCCCCCTCGCTCAGAGACCTACCATGACTTTGTGATCATCCCTCTCATTGGCCGATAGTCTGTCTGCCCTGTCGCGCTAACTAGTCCAGTGTGACAAACAAACTTTCTCCCCTATTTTCATTTCGTCTGACGACGGGTTGGTGTCACCAGCTCGAAAATTCACGAGTAAAACTCGATTTTTCCGAAGAACCTCTTCCTGTTTTCATTATATCGACTCGGAATGCATAACATCTCTGATCTACAACATTTTAATATGTTAGTTCACCAAATGTAGTTCTGGATGCCCTTGCAAGTCAAAAGGCCGATTGATCAGTTCACACTTCAGTTTATTATAAAAAACATAGTCAGAGGTCATCCTTCGTTTTGATTGTAACTATCGTGTCTCTTATTAGGGAAATACTGCATACAGCTTACTAACTCGAGCCAAAACGCATTCTTCTGATGGAGTTTTATCACGCAGAAATGAACTAGTGTGATCATTTAACCGTATTAACAAAAGAGAAAATAACTAAAAGCCCCGAAACGCGTTTTTCGTCGATCGTGTACCGCTGCCTGACGCAGCGGCAAGGGGTTCGACTCATCTGTGTGTCCACTAGCATTCTCTGTATGTTTTCTGGCAAATGAATTTCAGTCTGAATCTGCCTTGTTTATTTTCCGAGGAAATTAATTTGCGAGCTTGGAGTTGATCTTTCAGAGCAGACCTGCTCGGGCACGATCCGAAATCTGACATGAATAGTTGAGCTGAAATCCATCGGCTACCGTGAAATAATCGCGTAATATTCACAAACCGCTAATAGGCAGCCTGTAGTATATAGTTGTGTAATCATTTTACCCTAATAACGAAAGAGATATCGGCTAAAAGCTGGTGGACCCACCGATGAGTCGGACCACTTGCTGCCTCTTCAAGCAGCGGCAAAAGTTCGTCGGGACACGCGTGTCTGAACTCTTAACTAATACTTAAATTGATAATACGGTAAAATGATTACACATGCTATTTTGCGTCAGTGCATGAAGAATAATGAGATCAAACAAGAGGTTATTTTAAAAACTACGACCATCCGAGCACCATAAACATTTACTTGGCGGAAGTTACCATTTAAATCCGTCAAAATACAGCTGCAAAAACACCAGTTACATCTAGTACACCAACCAGCAACTACATTGCGCACCCGTACTGTACTCCTATGGGCAATGTTGACTGCCTCAATTGCAAAATTATTGCTTATAAGATGCCATATGTCGGTCGTACGGCAATTTATTGTGGCCAAACTGGAATATTCACCTAAACCCGTTTGCATGAACATAAGTAAGCGGTCTGGCAAGGGTATCACCTATCCCATGTGGCTATGCACACACTGGACACACGTTTTCACAGGAGAACACTCGCATTGTTGATGCTTGCCCAATAAGAAAGGGCCGTGAATTCCTGGAAATAATGCACTCAGATGAAGCGTTCATCAATCGACATATCTATTTGGATGACACGTGCAGATTTCTCAAGGACAGTTGGAGTTGAGCTCAGCCAAGGCCGATGACGAAAAGCCATTGGCGGGCACAGGTGCAAGCTTCGACCAAATTGCAGAATCATTTGTTCGACAGGGTTAAATAGTTAACTGCTTTTCTAGGTGAGCCATAATTTCAGAAATGGGCCGGGAAACCAGTCTTGAAAATCCGCACAATACAGCTTACTTTGCTCCCAAAGAATCTCAGTCATCTGAAATGTACATTTTTTAAGATGACAGGTTCTTTGGGAAAAGGAAAAACTTTATTAGTAAATCTTCGAAGTCGGTTCCTCGGATCGTCGTCAGACTCGAATAAATGCACAAAAAACAATCATCCTCATCATCATCATGCACTCATCTGAGTGCATGGCTTCAAGAAATTATTGTCAGGCACCGACGATACGAGTTTTTTTCCATGCAAAAATATGCCCCGTATCTAATGTGTGCATGGTCATTTGAGTTATGTGGCCTCATCACCTAACAAATAACTGGTGTTTGTGGATGAGTGTAAGCCATGCATCAATCGGCATATTGAGGAAGACGCCATGTACAAAAATCTCAAGAGGAGGTGGAAGAGACGGTGAACAATCGATACACAATGAGCTATGCGTCGGACGCTCATTGGCAGAATTGCCGGAGAGGTATTGACTTTTGGGCATGTTTAGAATTTTAATGGTTTTTGTGCATTTATTTGAGTCTGACGACGACCCGAAGAACCGATGTCGAACATTTACCAATAAAGTTCTTACGTTTTCCACAGAAACTACTATCATTAAATTGGGATACCTGCCTTCCAACTTATACGTTTAAATGTATTTATATAGGTTTCCTCAGCGGATCTATAAGCAGATACTCTATGCTCACGAAAGACGGCAGTTAACTGCTCACTGCAAAATGCATATTGGACTGCGTAGATCAATAAAAAATTCCTGTCGTCCGGAATGGGGTTTGTACTTTTAAATAGTTAGGACTATCTGGGCTATTTACTTATTTTCATTACCGTCTCCAGTATATACTTCCTAATAAACATTTTTATGTTGAATTTTGTTCACGCTATATTTACAGTGCGTGACCTATCTCATGAAATGTTGGCTGAAATTCTGAAATGCGTTTTCGATTAGGAGGGATTACTTGGTCGCGGTTGTAATGCTGGTTATCATAAGGTACACTCTTATAACATTTTGCACTCGTCAAGATGTCGGCTTTTAAATGCACTTCTTTTTAATCTCCTTTAGAAAACGTGCTCGGTAAAAATGACAACTTAAGTAGCATGTATTTTTCCCATTGATTTTCGATGGTCTTGGAAATTCAAATATATTTTATAGAAACCAGAAACAAAAATATGCTTTCTTTTAGTCAATCAATAGAACATCACGTCTTTTTATATTTTGGACTTAAGGAAGGAGTATAATTAGGTTTTAAAAAAGTTTCTTATTATGAGACTTTTAAAGACCGCGATATGTCCATTCACATAGCATCGTACCTGGCCGTTTACCACTGCTCCTCATGAAATGTACATCATGGTCCGCATCCATTGCAAAATTTTATGGATCCTGTATAATATCTTTTTAATGACATAGAAAAATATGGGATTTTATTTACGCGGAACGCATTCACCTTGTAGAGTGTAATCACTAAGCGCTAATGCAACGAATGATCAGGCTCCAAACTTTTCGGCAATTAGAAAACATTTTTAAAACCTAATTATACTCCTTTCTTAAGTATAAAATATAAAGAAGACGTGATTCTCTATTGATTGACTAAAAGAAAGCACATTTTTGTTTGTGGTTTCTATAAAATATATTTGAATTTCCAAGACCATCGAAAATCAATGGGAAAAATACATGCTTCTTAAGTAGTCATTTTTATACCGAGTACGCTTTCTACAGGAGATTGAAAAGAAGTGCATTTAAAAGCCGACAACCTGCCGAGTCTAAAATGTAATAATAGTATGCCTTAAAATAATCAGTTTTACAACGGCGACTAAGTAATCCCTCCTAATCAAAAACGCATTTCAGAATTTCAGCCAAAATTTCATGAGATAGGTCACGCACTGTACGTTAAAGACATCAGTTCAACTATGTAATTCATCCAATTACAGATAAAGCACTTAAACAACCCTGTTTAACATCCTGAAAATGACATTCCAAAAATAGAACCCTCTAAAAATAAAATAGCATATGACTGAATTTTGACTTTCGTGAGATTATAGACTAGAGGAAATGTTGTCCTTTTACCGTGGGTTTTAGTTGTTTTGCCGTGTACAACCAGTCATTTTCACTTTCATTTATGGCATTAAAAACAGCAAAATTTTTGACTTGTGATGTTTTTAATTAGAAGGCACTCAGGAGTTGGTTTTCCGGCAAACAATGTCCGAAATAACAACTCCTGAGTGCCTTCTAATTAAAAACATCGCAAGTCAGAGATTGTGGCCGGATCTTCGGCACACGCAAAATGGTAAAATATTTGGTCGCTCAGGAGTGGACTTAAAAATCACAGCAGCCAAAGATCTGACCGTCTGAGTCATGGGACCCCGACTGAAAGCTTTGAGTTTAATCACATCCTGTTGACACCCATCCGGCCTCGTCAAAAGAACCCGTCTACGGAGGAAAGGTAGAGGATATAACTCACAAATCCTATGTCTGTATGTTTGCACGGCGTTTGCCTGCGACGTGTCGGTGACTAGTCCGCCTGAAATAGTGAATGGTTAGTAGAGAGACCGCTGAAAAACACCAGATACTAGTACACTTCTTGCATTTGGGGTCTACCACACAGTATCATAATTTGCCGGAAAAACAACCTCTGAAATATCGTGGGTAAGTGACAATGCTTGGAGATTATAGCCAGTTTCTAATTATGAGACTTTTTAAGACCGCGATATGTCCATTCACATAGCATCGTACCTGGCCGTTTACAACTGTTCCTCATGAAATGTTCAACATGGTCCGCATCCATTTCAAAATTTTATGGACTCTGTAGGATATTTCTTTAATGACATAGGAAAATATTCGATTTTCTTTACGCGGAAAGCAAGCACCTTGTAGAGTCTAATCACTAAGCGCTAATGCAACGAATGATCAGGCTCCAAATTTTTTGGCAATTAGAAAACTTTTTAAAACCTAATTATACTCCTTCCTTAAGTATAAAATATAAAGAAGACGTTATTTTCTATTGATTAACTAAAAGAAAGCATATTTTTGTTTGTGGTTTCTATAAAATATATTTGAATTTCCAAGACCATCGAAAATCAATGGGAAACATGTATGCTAATTAAGTAGTCATTTTTTACAGAGCACGCTTTCTATGTGAGATGGAAAAGAAGCGCATTTAAAAGCCGACATCCTGCTGAATATGCCTTTAGCTAATCAGTATTACAATCGCGACCAAGTAATCCTTCCTAATCGAAAACGCATTTCAGAATTTCAGCCAACATTTCATGAGATAGGTCACCCACCGTACCTAAGCTACAGGACCCCG